CCTCGTCCACCAGAAGCCGGACTACGTGACTCCACAGAAGAAGAAGGACGACGCGAAGAACAAGAAGGAGACCTCCGGCAACATAGCAAAGTCGTCTTCGGCAACACCGAGGTCCATGAGTATCACGTCCCGGGCCACGAATCCGATGTCTTCGCTGGAAGCTGCAGCAATGGCCTTCAGGGGCCAGGCCCATGCCGTGTATACTCCTCCGGTGTCGTCTGGGGAGGATGTAGTCTCGGACCAGGAGATGGACGAGATGGACCTGGTCCGGAGAGATGTTCAGAACTGGGAGAAGGAGGTGGACAACCCAATGTGGACACAGGCCTGCCCTCAATGCTCGGGGACAGTCCACTTGATGTGGGACGCCAGCCGGCACGGATACCTGTGGCAGTGTCGGAAAGGAGCAGCCAAATGCCCATATCGGTGGGCAGATCTGGAGGAGCAGATTACTCCAGCCTTCGGGACCCGACTGTGCACGGAATGTCAGCAGGATGGCCTTGCGAAGGTGAGTGTGAACGGGAGATGGGGCTGGAAATGCCCTCGATGCAAGGACTTTACCCTAGAGATGGATTGGCCAGCGGTGATCGGGGACTTCCTGCACAGCGGGGGCTACGACCTCGAGAAGACGCATGCGGCGTTCCACGAGCCTCCAACCCGGACCAGCGGGGCCATGGGTTCGAATTCGTTGGCTGGCTGAAGGGACCAGGAGTAGCCGAGAGTCTATTCCTCGACCCGACCGAGCTCGAGAGACATCTTGACCTGAGTAGGACGATGGTGTTGTGGCACCATGGGAGCTCGGTGCCAGCGCAACTGGGGGTTCGACTCAGAAGCCCACTGGGAACTCGAGTACTTGCGACGCGGTCTGGCAAGAACTCATGGAATCTTCTCTCGATACAGAGAGGAAGCTCTGCTGAGTACGACCTGGGTGGTGAGTTTTCCGTGCTGGTGCTGCAAGAACTGGACCAGGACTTTCTGGGATATGTGGAGGACCAGAGCTATGACCCGATCGAGGTGACGCTCACCAAGAATGACAAGAAGATCCTCATGAAGTCCCTGGACAACCTGAACAATGGGGACGAGACCTATTGGGACATTCTCGAGGACCCAGAGACCTGGAACGGAGTTGCCGGAACACTGACCCCGGACCATGAACTACTTCCGGCCATGCCAAGTGTCCTGGCTACCGCCTCCACCGCGACCAAGGACCATAAGGACCACAAGCAGCACAGCATGCCAAGACCCAAGGTACCTCCGGCCGCAGACATCATCGAGCGCGGCCGCACTCAGTATGACCGCCTTCCGTGCAGTTTCGAGATGCACATGTGGATTCGAGACCTCCGGGAACTAGGCCTCAAACTTCTGTGGCGTGAGTACTTTGGCCAGGTGGTGGTCATTAGCCTTGAGGCCAAAACCGTCCTGTTACCCAAGGTCGGGCCTGGAGCTCGCCCTATGCGGTGGACGGCCTGCTGCAATGGTGACCACCCGGAGGAGTGGAACTGTGTCGAGGAGAGAGTGATGGGTGCTTGGAGCCCTCGAATCCGGGACTATGAGAAGGTGATCGTTTTCTACCGGTGGCCGGTGCCACCAACCATCATGGGCACCTACGTGAGCACCACGGACATCACGAACCAGGAAAAGGCGGCCGTGATGCGATGCCACGTGAACCTGGGCCACCCACAGGTTCGGGAGTTTGTCAGGCTCCTCAAAGCAGCCGGGACCCGGGAAGACATCATCAACTACGTCCTCAGGGAATTCGATTGTCCCGGGTGTCGAATGGAGAAGAGGCCACCGACCAGACTACCAGCAGCAACGCCCAGGACGTACGATTTCAACATCGTCGTGGGGGTGGACATCCTCTTCGTCCACGGAGTGAACAACAAGTTCGAACATCCGGTTCTCAATATTACGTGCTGGGGAACCTTGTACAGCACCTTTGGCTTGGTGGATCTGAAGAGGCGAACCGCCGAACTCGCCTGGACCGCGTTCGCCAGGCTATGGATTCGGACTTTTGGGGCTCCCCAGTACCTTGTCTACGACCAGGGAAATGAGTTTGTGGGCGCACGGTTTCAAGAGGGACTTGAACAACATGGAATTTGCCCTGTGGTGATAAACCGTGATGCACCTTTCGAGAACGGTGTTACAGAGAGACGAGGGGGACTCTTCAAGGATGTCTACTACAAGACTCGTGAAATGGTGCAGCCACAAGATGTGAGCGAGATCGAGACGCTCATCTTCGAGGTGTCTTGGGCACTCCAGACGTTGGTGAACCGATCGGGCTATTCTCCGGCCCAGCGAGTCCTCGGACGGCAGCCTCAGGTGGGTTTGGAGACCTTGTCTGACCAGGGTGAGTATCACCTGTCAACCACGCAGGATCGAGCGTGGGCAAGAGCAGAGCGGATGCGACAAGCTGCCAGGGAAGCTCTGGTGCAACTGGATGCACGAGAACGACTTGCACGAGCTCGACGAGGACGACCCCGGCGAGAAATCGAAAGGCTTTCCTTTGCTGAGGGCGAGCCAGTGATGATTTGGCGCCAAGGGCGCAGAGGTTCACTCGCCAAGGTGGGGCCATGCTTTGTGGTCTTACAACGGGACCACACAGTCTGGGTGACACGACGTGGCGAGCTCCTGAAGTGCCACGTCTCACAAGTTTTCCCCATGGGCAACCTGGAGAAGCAGGGACTTGAGATACTACCACTTGATCTACTACAAGCAAAGGAACAACTTCGCTATGGGAGCGAGAAATTGCCCTACACCGATGTGACCCAGGAGAACCAGTCTGAGGCCGGCGGAATTGGGGATGTCATCGATGTCCAAGGTCCTGAAGGACCCCCTGATGGAGGCGAAAATCCATCAGAACCTCAAGCACTACCAGTCGACGAAAATCCCTCAGAACCTCAAGCACTACCAGTCCACGAAAATCCGTCAGAACCTCAAGCACTACCAGTCCACGAAACTCCGTCAGAACCTCAAGCACTACCAGTCCGTGAAAATCCGTCAGAACCACATGTACTACCAGCAGGAGGGGGTCAACCGTCGGATCCGGCACCTAGGCCGCGAGTCCAGTCAGGTGTGTCAGAGGGTCCTGGTGGCAGCTCGTCCAGTTCGAGTACATCGTCTAGCAGTTCAAGTAGCAGCTCTGCGTCTCCCAAAGCTAGACCAGCCAAGATGCCAAGGGCAGCTGAGTGGCCACCACATGGAGATGGGACACAGCTGAGACGATGGAGCAGGATAGATGGAAATGCCAAAAGGTTCCGCACCTCTCTGTCGACAGGACCTCTCTGGAGCGACGTGGTGCAGAGGATCACTATCAACCACGACTCTGGCAAGGTGATCTGCGTGGAGGATGTGACCGGAAAGGAGCCGTCGAAGCACCTGCACCGTGCCCTTCCTGAAGGTGTGAAAACGATACGCACCATTTTGGTGTACAAGAAGGTGGCTGGGCACCCAGATCCGGGAGTTTCCTACAGCAGCTCAGAGGACAAGCCACCCGCTGATGAGGATGAGGATGGCCGGGTGATCAGACGAATCAAGCGATCTCTAGCTGAGGCTACTGAGGGTGACGATCAGCCACTTCAAGGTGATGAACCTCCACCACCGCGATCGAGAGTTTTCGGAGTTTGGGTGGCTGACAAGGTGACGGAGTGGGGCGATAAGGCCCGCTTTCCAGTGATCGCCAACTCACGCGACCTGGACCTCTTCAAGAAGATCATCAAGAACGACACATACTACCTGTACTCCGAGCTCCACTCCGGCTGGATATGCCTCACGAAGAAGAGTGGCAAAGAACTACAAGAACGACTTCTCAATGAACAAGAACGGAAGCTCTTCCGGGAGGCCAAGCTGCTCGAGGTCCAGAATTTGGTGGCAGGGAACGCCATCGAGTTTGTCACCGATCCTGAGGAGATTGCGAGGGTCCATCGTGAACTACCTCATCGAGTGATGCCGAGCAGGTTCATCATTACAAAGAAGACGCAGGAGATCAATCAGACTTGGAAAGCTAAGGCCCGCTGGATATTGCTCGGGCATCGCGAGGTCGAGCGATACGCGCCGACACCAGCGACGACGACTGTCTACATGACGTTCCAGATCATAGCCAGCTTGGGCTATCGGCTGACGATCATGGACGTGACCTCAGCCTTTGGCCAGTCTGAGCCAGAAGAAAGAGCAGATGGTCCACTCTATGCTACCATGCCACCGACCGGCATCCCAGACATGGACCAGTCTTGGTTGATACGAGTTCGTACTGCGGTGTATGGTTTGGTCAACGCTCCGGCCTCATGGAGGAGAACCGTGAGGAAGTTTCTACTCCAGTTGGGCTACACTGAAAGCTCTTTCGACCCCTGCCTCTACTTCCTAAAGTTTGCCAGCGACGAGATCACCGAGCCACCACAACGCGGCTGCGCTGGAGTTGTGTTGCTGGATGTGGATGATTTTGTGCAGGGAGGCAATGCTCGACATCAGGAGAAGATGCAGAAACTTCGAGAACACTTCCGTTTTGGGAAGTGGAGGGACATATTTCAGTCACATGGAGAGTATCTCGGAAGAACAGTGACACAAACCGAGAACTTTGAGGTGGCCGTTTGCATGTCCCGCTACATCAAGGAGAAGCTGCGACCAATCGTACTACCTCGTGGCCGAGCAAAGGAGGAGGACAGCCTGCTGGATGAGAAAGAGATCTCCCAACTACGGGGAGCTGGCGGCTCACTACTGTGGGTCGGGAAGGAAACTCGTCCAGACATGGCGGCTGCCTGCGCTATGGTGCTTTCATGGGACAAAGAAGGGCCCAGGGTTTCACATGTGAAACAGGCCAACAAGGCGATTCAGGAGCTTCAAAAGACCGCCGATGCAACGTTGCGCATCCTTCCCATCAGCCTGGAACGTGGTTTCTGGGTGTCGATCTCCGATGCTTCGGTTGCGAATGATGGGAGCAAATAAATTCCTGGAGGTCGCACCGCCTGCGCAGGGTGGTTAAAGCAAGCTTAGGCTCGGAAGCTTTGGCCATGGACGACGCTCTGGCAGAGTTGGAGTGGGTGCGAGCTCTCTTCAGTGAAGTGTGCATCCCGGGGACCACCGTGTATGATGGTACAAGGCTCTCAAGCGATGAGAGCGTGGCTATGGTTCGACAATCTGACGAGAATGAGACCAGTATCACCATCACAGACGCCCGGGCTCTTTACGACCTTTTCCACCGCCGGAGCGGATCAGCTGGCCTTGATCGCCGCGCCCAGATCGATGTTGCCGTTATGTGCCACAGTGCTCGACTGCTCAACGTGAAGGTTCACTGGTTGCCGGGACACTACATGTTAGCAGATCCCCTCACCAAACGGTTGGGGAACAGTAAACTGCTGCGTGGTGTCATGCAAATGGCCAAATATGCCATTAAGGAGCACGCTCTGAAGAGCCTTCTGCAGGAACAGTCGGAGGAACCCCCTGATGGATGTGAAGATAGTAGCCATGCTGCCCGACAGTTTCCTGTTGTGTGATGTGTTTTGTTCCTCCGAGCAGTCTTGCAAGCCGACCTGTTGAGCTTGACTCACCGACGCCACGAAGGGCCCTTTGAGTCACGGAAAATAGCTTGTGAGCCTGATTCCTCCGCCGTGTTTCGATTTACACTCGGCTACAGTTCCGCTGCGAATCCTGCCGTCTTCAGAGTCGTGCATCGCCAACTCATCACTGTCAGGTTTGAGCTGAGCCTGGATCTCTTCGCAACTCGCCAACAGGGCTACCGAGGCCAGAGACGTCTGTAGCCAGGCTCTGCCAAATCAATTGGGGTTGTATCATAACCCCGCGCCCCAGTGTTCAGTCTTGGCATGTCCCTGCCTGGGCTTTTCAATCAGTACTGTGGAAAAACAAGGACAAGGAAAGAAAAAAACGATAAGGCCATAATCACTACAACCCAGCACAATCCGGCCAGGACCCCAAACGAGGCATTTCCAGCACTAAAGTTGTATTAGCATGCTAATTTTGGCACCTGACAGGTCTGTGGGAGTTTCGAGTGAGCCTCTTCGACGCTGCGACCATGCGGCGGCTGGCAAGCCACTGGACCAGGCGCTCGGTCTCTTGGGCTCCGGGGACTCCTGCCAAGGCCCAAGCCCCTGGCTCCCAGGCTGCTGCGGTCCCTGGGGTCTCCGCGTCTCTCTCCAGTTCGGGAGCTGACCTTCGAGCCCTTCGCAGAGAGGCGCAGCGCAGGACTCCGCAGGACCGCTCGATCTGGAGCCTTCGGCACCCGTGCATCAGGTTCCTTCACTACCACGACCTCTGCGTCTCTAGGTCTCCGGCTCTGCCGGGCCTCTGCGTCCAGGACGTGCTCTGGGAGACTGGGAAGGGCGACCTATGATTGTAAAGGAAGCAGAGCACCACCTGCTACTTCCGCTTGTCTCAGTCTGCATAGGATCTGATCATGCAGCAGGCCGCGGCAGTTGCAAGTCTTGCCAGCTACTTTAGCCGATACTTGCAGACCCTCGGCAGGCTATGCGCACTCCTTGGAGCACGGCCATTATCGTCAAGGAGGAGACGGAGGCAACGTTCCGATCCAGCTTGGTGGTGATGGTGGTGAACAGGGGAACCCATGAATTTCAACTGCATAGAGTCTCAAAGCCTTTGCCTGTCCAGAGGCCATACCGCGATGGCGCCACATCTGCTTCTGCGAGCTGCGGCGAGCGGCTTTGTCAGTGGCGTCTGCACTACGACGCTGGCTTGCAGAGTCGTGTGACGTCGTGAGACCAGCTTCGGCTTCATAATCTTCATTGCATGACACAGAGCACGGCAGCGCAGGCAAGGGTCTCCGCCCAGCTGATGTCCGGATGGGGGCGCGCGTTGGTTTGCTTCTGGGCAAGGCGAAGTGTGCACAACCAGTGTCAGCGATCTGGTTTCGCGAAGACGACAGGGTGCAGAGTTCGTGCCGGTGCTGTTGGGCACCTTGATCCTGGGCTGCTCCTATGTCCCGCTGTCGGTGGACCCTTCGCTGCAAGCCGAATTCCGAAAAGGGGACGAGTCAAGGCAAGGGCATAGCCTTGGCATGAGATGGGCACGAGATGTGAGGAACTTCCGGCCGCGCGCTTGCGCTTCCTGGCCGCAGACGCGGCTCTCAGCCTGGTTGTCGCGTGCCCGCAGGAGCTGCAGAAGCAGGCGGAGCTTTGCCACTTGGCGAGCTGTTCTCTGAACTCTCTGCAAAGCTGTCCGCTTCCGACCTTTACGACCATGGGCGCCAAGGTGGAATGCCGGTCCTCACTTTCTCAGTGGAGGAGGCAGTGGCAGACGAGGGGGCTCGGTTATTCAATCATTCGTTCTTCGTGCAGTCCTTAGTCTTCAGGCGCATTGGCTAGTGGTTTCTGTCGGAGACACAGCATTTCCAGTTTGCCGGGGACTGGGACATCTCATGCCGACTCGGACGCAAGCGCTGCACGCAAGGGTTCAGGGGCTCCCCCCCTACCGACCAAGCAAGCAAGAGAGAGAGAGAGAGAGAGAGAGAGAGAGAGGGCATGGCCCATTCCCTCCGCACCTGTCGGGGGCGCCGACGGCGCGCGGGCAGGGGGGTCTCCCCTCTGCCCATAACCCTGCCGAAAGAAAGAAAGAGACAGCCCTCTCGTGAGTACAGTACTGTCGCTTTACACTCCCCCGCAAGGCCCAATTCGGTGCCCGTTGTGCTCTCAGAGACCGAGAGAGAGAGAAAGAGAGCCCTACGCCCTGCAGAAAGAAAGAGAGAGAGAGAGAGGGAGCAGCTGGACCGCTGTTTCCTCCTGTCCCTGGAGAGAGAGAGAGAGAGGGAGAGTCTAGGGCAGGACGCACGCTTGGCTCCCCGCCTGGGAGAGAGAGAGAGAGTTTTGCACAGAAATGGGGGGACATAAAGGAAGCAAGCTACTCAAGCCGTGATGCCGAACAAAGCCTCAAGCCATTACTATCTTAACGTGTACTTGTGTTCACTTATGTTGCGTGGTTTGAGCCTCAGTGTGATGCTTTCTTGGCCGGGGGCTCAGCAGCAA